TGCCTGACCGGCCCCTGTTCAGCAGTAATGTTTCCGCTGCACCCGTGTGCCAGTCGTGGCGCCCTGACACAGTTTGGGAACCGCTGCTCTAGAGAATAGTGGTTCTTGGAGTGTTCCTTTAAGGCCTGATAAGATACTTTGTTAGATATATGGTTAATAATGAACAGTAATAAAATTATGGTAGTTGTTCACAATATACACTATACTCTAATTTGCACTAAACTGAACCACATGATATCTGTGTGTTAGATTTTATCAGATTTACAATAACCATTGTGGTAGAATGCCCACAAACTTGAAGGAAGTATGTCTGGATTGTACGCAACTTTCATCATCGTTTTCTTTGCTTTTAGATGTATCAGACTCCTGGTGTTTAGTACCTTAGTCCTCCAATATGGTGTTTGCTTATTTTAGTTATGGCAAATAATTATCTGGGCACACTGATTATTGTAGAATGGAAATGGACCATTCAACAAATGCTATTAACTTTGAAAACTGAAGTCACTTCATCTTGGGTTACATCTATCTACACTGTAGAGCTGCAACAACTGATCAATAAAACCGATATGTTATGAAAATTTCTGATGACGAATCTCGTCAATTATTCTATTAATCGATCCAAGATGTGGGAAATTATGTCTGCCTTACTACCATGCCTCTCAAATACAGATATAGAGCAATCATATTGCAGAGAAAATAGGTGCCATTGTCCACGACAATGGTGCCAATATTGTAGCTGTTGCAAACTTACTGTAGGAAGCATGGGTGGACCAGTATCTGCTGCACTAACAAAATATATATTTTTAAAAGCACGCCAGATGCAAGTGGACAGAGAAAAATAGGAAACATCTGAGCACAAGCTTGTTCAGAACGTACAAGATGGAATATGTAGTATATGATTAGCAAACTGAGCAAAGGTAGCCTACAACCGCAACCCTTTCTGGCCCATCTATCAAGCAATGGAGCAAACAATATATTGACCTAAAACCAGACCAGTGGATTATGCATGGAGATCTTACCACCTCCCTTAAGTTTTTCAAGATCAATATATCACAATTTCTGCAGCTGAAAGTGGCTGTTGAGATCCACTGAAGGTGATGTCTTTGAGTCATCTCACGTTGTCTTCCCAAGTCACGGCAGCAGAGCAGATTAAAGGAAGATATTTTTTTTTTATCAAGTACCAAACATAGGAATATGCTCCTCTACCGTGGATCCAAGATTCAAAAGGCTAAAATTTGTCACCTGAACCAATTATAAATGTGCCAAAAAAATATTTTTTACAAAATAAAATAAGCACTTGAAGTGAAAAGAGTGATGGTGCAATGGCATCAAATAACTACCTCAACCAAACACATGATAAATAGCCAAAAAGTTTGCCTCTTTGATTGACTCACTCCTTAAGTCTGGAGGCAGCAGTGAGCAAGAAAATCAAGAGTAGCGACCCGAGGACAACATTAAAAGCCACATTAAAAAATAAGTCTAGGCTCACTTTGTTGAGAGGCCCTTGAAAAGGAGGAAATCCCTGTACCTTGGTAACTGGCAAATTCTTACTTATGCATCCCAGGCAGTGGCACCTCAACACAATTTGAGCAAGCCATAGTCAGGAGTATGTGGACATTTTTTTTATGCAAAATTTCTAGAGGAATAAACAGAATAAGAAAGAATATTATGAACAGTGATAGTCTCCCACAGGGATGCCCAAAAGGTAGATCCACAGATGTTTTTGAAAAATTATAACTTCCATGATGTTTGGTCATTCAAAACAACATGGAAGTTGTAGTTCTACAACATCTGGGGATCTACCAGTTGGACAGTTGTGTTAGTCTGCTTATATTGTAACACCCGGTTTGTGGATTTTAACATAAACATATGGAAAAATTGTGTTTTTTAAATCTGATCATAAAAATCTGCATTATCATATTATAACCTACATTTGTTTACTCAGTACTGCCATTTTAAAAGTGCCTTATCAAAGTAAATTTACAGGAAATTGGGTGTTATAATGGACAATATTTATCAAGAAGGTTCTTCAAACATTTGAAATGAAAGTGTCAGTGGACACGCTTAGCTTATTACGTGCGGCCAACCAAATATGGCCTAAACAGAAGAGTAAATTCTGCAATGACAAAATAGAAAAATAAAAATGCAAGTCTGTGTGCACCCTGGAAACCAGTTTTAGCCAAACTGCTCAAAAACAATTGACTGACCCCACACTACATAGTATGTAGACACATGTTCACATTCTTTTATAGCTAATAAAATGAAGCTGTAACAGCCTCCACACTTGTGGGAAGGTTTCTTACTAAAAAAATAAAAAAAAAAATAAAAAAAAATATAGAAACATAGAATGTGACGGCAGATAACCATTCGGCGGCCCATCTAGTCTGCTCAATTTTCTAAATACTTTCATTAGTCCCTGGCCTTAGTTATAATTAGGATACCTTTCCTGGTAAGTTTTATCCTGTAATCCATGAACCAGTCTAATAGACCTTCTCTGAACTCTCTCTAAAGTATCAATATCTTTCTGAAGATGTACTGCATACAATACTCCAAGTGAGGTTTCACCAGTGTTCTGTACAATGGCATGAGCACTTCCCTCTTTCTACTGCTAATACCTCTCAGTATACAACCAAGCATTCTGCTAGCATTTCCTGCTGCTCTATTACATTGTCTACCTTTAAGTCATCAGAAATAATCACCCCTAAATCCCTTTCCTCTGATGTCGAGGTTAGGACTATCAAATATTCTGTACTCTGCCCTTGGGTTTTTACATCCAAGATGCATTATCTTGCACTTATCCACATTAAAGGACCACTCTAGGCACCCAGACTACTTCAGCTTAATGAAGTGGTCTGGGTGCCAGGTCCCTCTAGGATTAACCCCTTTTTTTTATAAACATAGTTTCAGAGAAACTGCTATGTTTATAAATGGGTTAATCCAGCCTCTAAAGCCTCTAGTCGCTGTCTCATTGACAGCCACTAGAGGCGCTTGCGTGCTTCTCACTGAAAATCACAGTGAGAAGACGCCAGCGTCCATAGGAAAGCATTATGAATGCTTTCCTATGAGACTGGCTGAATGCGCACGCAACTCCTGCGCATTCAGCTGAAGAGGAGGATCGGAGGAGGAGAGCTCCCCGCCCGGCGCTGGAAAAAAGGTAAGTTTAACCCCTTTCCTTGCCATCCAGCCCGGTGGGAGTGGGGGCACCCTCAGGGCACTATAGTTTGGAATCTAGGAGACAGCTAAACAAGTTAGGAGCCAGTCATTTTCAACGAGAAAATTTAATTCTTAAAGGGACACTATAGTCACCAGAACCACTACAGCTTGATGTAGTTCTGGTGTCTATAGCCTGTCCCTGCAAGCGTTTTAGTGTAAACACTGCCTTTTCTGCAAAAAGGCAGAATTTACATTGCTGCTTAGCAACACCTCAACTGACAGTCACTCAGAGTCACTAGAGTGTCCTGGGTCACTGCTGTACCACATGCAGCACCCAGGTTCAGTATCTCCAAGCTCTGCATGGAGGTGCTGAATGTTCCTTGTAGAAATGTATTAATTTAATGCATCTCTATGAGGAGATGCGGAGTACATTTGCTGCGCATGCACAAAATCATTGGCTTAGCTGAGATCATAAAGATCATGGGGAAACTGGCACGGCGTGAGAAAATGGAGTGAGTAAAAACTATCGGAGGAGGCAGGTACCTAAACGGACACAGTCTCTCTGACTGACAGACACACACTGACAGGCTCTCACACATTTTGTTTGAATTGAAACCCACTCAGCCTCACTACCTTTGGGAGAGCTGAGTGAGTCTTTCCTGGGGTCCAGTGGGGCTGCGCTCATCCTGTGTGCAAGGGAGCAGTACTCTGCTTGTAGCTCCTCTCTGCTCCCTCGCGCTATGTAATGATGCCGGGGCTGGAATGGCGCCATATTCTGGCTTCTGACATCATTACACAGCGCGAGGGAGCTACAGAGTACTGCTCCCCCATCGCTCTGTCTACAATACCCAGGAGGGCGGCCGCCTACCTCCATGCTCAGGAGGGCGGCCACCTGCAATATTACCTGTGACGGCCGCAGCCACACTAATTAGAGAGCTGGCACATCCCAGACGCCAGGGCGAAATTTGTTAAGGGATTTGTCAAGCCCTGTGTTAATGGTTTTGCTAGTGCACCACTAAGCTCTTAACTTTGGGTGTATTCCATCAGGTCCCATTGACTTGTCTTTACTTTTGACAGTTGAAATGGAACCTCTTCCTCTGTAAACTCACATTTAATAAATTACTCATTTGTCCTTTTTCTTAACTGAGGTCCCTTTCCTTCATTTTCATTTGTAAATACAGAACAAAAATAGTAATTGAGGCAGTCAGCTAGACTTATCCTCTTCTACATACCTTCCGTTTTTTTTAATCTATCTAATCCTTGTTTTACTTTCCTTTTCTCATTTATGTATCTAAAAAATGTTTTGTCCTTTTTTTTTTTTACTGACTGTGCTATTTTCTCTTATAAGCTCTTATAACGTGCTTAGCTTCTTTCTGCCTAATCTTGTTGATCATTCGGTCTTCCTCACTCTGGGTTGTTTTTTTTATAATTCCTAAATGCTAACATTTAGTTTTTTTACTATTTTGGCCACATCTGCGGAGTACCACAGTGATTTCTTGAATTTTTTGCTTTTACTTACAAGCCTAATACAATTTTCTATTGCCTTCAGCAGTGCAACTTTTAAATAATCCCATTTCTCTTGGACTCCATTTAAATTGCTCCAGTCTGATAATGACTTCTTCACACATATTCTAATTTTAGAAAAGTCTGTTTTTTTAAAGTCTGCTTCCATTTAGGCACAAGTTGGATTTGGCATAGATGGTATCACGAAACGCTTGGTCCAATTTATACCCAAGATTGTTGAGATAAGTGGTTCTTACTGAGAAAGTGTACCACTAAGTTGATGTCTAGCAAACTGAACATGAAGTTATTTCAATACACAGGTATGCACATAATAAAAATGCAAATTTTGATTTCAACATGAGGTTTATTCCAAACAAGCTGTGGCTTTAAGAAGAAACAATGCAAACTATATAGGAAGTGGACTCTATACAAAAGACCCCACATTTTGTGTTGTTATAGCCAATTTGGCCCAAAGAGAAGCCCAGACCCTTTAACCACTCTCCCAGACCGTTGGGGAGAGTTGTATAACTCCAGTTCTCATAGGCCAACAGGCAGATTCTTAATATTTTTTCTTTAATGCAGGTGGTATCCCCGATATTTGGATTGTAACACATATTCAAATACATTATGGCAAAGTATGAACACAGCCTTTAACAAAGGACTTATGCAGCCTAGCATAGATGTACATATATAATTTTAGAATAACTTTACCCACGCTAAAGAACAGAATTCAAAACAAATTAAGACTTAAAGACTTTACCTAGTCAACCTCCAGCTGTAGAATGGGGAAAAAAGCAACGAAACAAACGTAGATGTATGTATGCATACATACGCAAGTAGCCATGAAAAATTAAGTCTTTTTTCTGCAAAATATGTAAATAAAAAGTCAAAATGGGATTTAAAAAAAAAAAAATATCTCCAGCTGCTGGGTTGGAGGAAAAAAAAAACCCAAAAACAAAGCAATTTATGCTTAAACTTGATCATTTATACTGGATCGTCACCCCAGTTTTAATGCATCCCAGCAATCCTGGCTCGAATCCCTGAAGTTTAGGTTGGAGGACATTGGCCTCTATTTGCTAGTTCTGTGGCATTAGGCGATTGGGTGGTGAAAGCCATCCTGAACCCCACAAAGTGCGATGGTGTTGCATGTGGTGGATACAGTAAAGATGTTCCTGAGGAGAGAAGGATGTAACATTTAAAGTAGGGATGTTGTAAACAGTATATATCAGAAGACAAAAAGAGGGTTGCACTCAAATAAACCAGAGGGTGCAGAGTATGGGTCAGCATACCCCATAAAACAGATATCAAAAGGAAACAATTTCCTTTTTTCCCCTCTCTTGTAAACACAGTATGTCATTAAAGGACCACTATAGGCACCCATACCACTTCAGCTCAATGACGTGGACAGGGTGCCAGGTCCATCTAGGGTTAACCCTGCAGCTGTAAACATAGTTTCAGAGAAACGGTTATGTTTACATTAGGGTTAATTCAGCGTCTAGTGGCGGTCTCACTGACAGCCACTAGAGGCGCTTCCGTGCTTCTCACTGATTTTCACAGTTAAAAGATGCCAGCATCCATAGGAAAGCATGGATAATGCTTTACTATGGACTGACTGCGCACGGCTCTTGCGGCGCATGCGCATTTGGCAGAAGAGTCCCCAGCACCCAGGGAGCCCGGCACGAGAGGGGTACATATTAACACTATAGTGCCAGGAAAACAAGTTTGTATTCCTGGATTATAGTGGTCCTTTAACATGTGTAAAAAAAAAAAAAAAATTAAAAACCTTTGACAAAAACAAAAAATTTAAATACTCAATTCTGGGTGCAGACATGACCTATCGCACTACTGTAATACTGTGTCTGGTTCTGCATAGGGACATTTGCTCAAGCAGGGCAATCACCTCCATGATGACATTTTGGCATGTGAAGGTCACTCCTATTCTTATCCAGGTAAAGCTGGCTAGGAAGTAACCAGAGCAACCAAAAGTATATGTGATCTAGTTGTTGTGATGTAGAGCAGGAGAACCACCATCTCTCAGTATAGTTAAAAAAATTAATTTAAAAAAAACAATTTCTGTTACATCAATGAAAGCAGTACAATTGGATTATTTAGGCATTTCGGGTTACAGTCAGTACTAACTGAAATGTTATTTATAATTACTAATCCATCCATACCCAAGTCTATTAAACAAGACTTACATAGCCAAGTACCCAAACACACAATACAAGGGTAATGGAAGTACCACTTAATAGTCTGGGAAGAGCATAAACGGTACAAGCAGATATGTAGTATATTTACAAGTCTGCCTTGGTGTTCTGTCTATGTAGTGCTGGCTGCTTGTCTATCAACAACACAGCTCACTGATCATAGCCTTCGGTGGCTGATTACATATGTATGGAAGTTGTCTGCAAAAACTATGGTGATGTCAGCATGCCATTACCAAAACACCCTACGTAGCATAACCCCTATAAACAATTTATTATGAAACAGCAGATGAAAAGGTATAGTATTTCTTCTAAAATTACTTGGCTCTCAGAATAATTTGACTGGAGAATCCATTAATGCAAAGAGTAGACCGTCCTGATCGATTTATGTTAGTATGATATACCTTAATTCCAGGTTGCGCGCACACTTTTTTTTAAAAAAATTTTTTTTTTTTAAGTGGGGAATACTTTTACGAACGGGGATGGCAAGTTCCCCAAAATGTCCAAAAAAGGTAGATACAAAAGTCCAGACACATCTGATTATTCTAAACAGCAGTTTTTAATTTGGAACACAGAAAAACAAACAACATTTTGGCTCCTACATGAGCCTTTGTCAAGTCTACAGATGTAATCAAAATTATTTAACCCCCATTGAAAATCATATTGTCAAAATGTACTGACTTTTAGCGGTTTGCAATGAACAATCAAAGTAAAACACTTGAAGCATTGATGTGTTGACTTGAGCCATTTCAATTTGTTTCCCAACATTCAACTGAAAATACAACTTCTAATGATTTCTCCAGTCTCAAAATTATTAAAACCTCTTCGTGGCATATTCTTGGGTTTGCTTGCTGCAACTGCCTTCTTCAAACACTGAAGCACTGACCCAGGAAACATCTCAAATGATCATCTGAGTGACTGCCACTAGAAGTGTTACTAGGATTAATGTAAACACTGCATTTTGACTGAAAAGGCAGTGCTTAAATTAAAACAATTGCAGGGATTGGCTTGTGCTGGAGGTAGAGGTCCTGGTGTCTATAGCCTAACACAGCCCTTGCCAATCAGCATCTCCTCATATGGATGCACTAAATCAATGCATCTCTATGAGGAAAGTGTAGTGTCTCCATGCAAACGATGGAGACATTGAATGTCAAGCACCTCTAGCAGCCATTTGAGGAGTGGTCAGTGGAGTTATTCCTAGTTTGTAATGTAAACACTGCATTTTCTCTGCAAAAGCCTGAAGAGAATGATTATACACACTAGAACAAATAAAATAGGCTTTAGTTTTTTGGTGCCTATTGAGTCCCTTTAAACTGTAGTTCAGGTGACTATAGTGTCCATTTAATCTTGCCACCTGTGTTGCTAGGAGTTGGTAGGTTTAAGTTTCACTTTTCTCTTCTGGTACTCATTTTACATTTTAACACGCTGTTATTGCTAATCCACTCAGGTGTCCTAGAAACTTGCCAGATCTATTCCATATGACATCCTTCAGGGAATTTACTGGCAATTAGCACTGACCAGTTCATGTACAGCCTCACAAAAATAAAGATAATTCACTATTTAGAGACACCCCACAGTATGTCCACTGTTGGAATGCCTGTTATTCTGTTTCTGTGTACATAGAAAGAGAGCTACAGTAAAGCAGATGTATACATTTCTGCATATACCCACAGGACTGAAATTACAAATATATTAACACAAATAAGTTCAATCATGGTCTTGACTTTCTCACCTTATTTCAGTTTTTAGTTCTTTATCACCTAAAGAGAGAGAAGGAAAATGCAATGAGATTTAATCATGTAAAAAAAAGTCTACTTATGGTTAAATAAAAAAACAGAAAAACAAAAACCAAAGTAGCACAAATGGAGACTGAACTAGAAAAAGAAAAAAAAAAAGGTACCGTTTCGTAAACTAGTAGGCACCACTTAAGTGGTGCATATAGGGATGTGACCCTGCAATTTGGAGGGTCACATAATATGAAATGCAATTAAATTGGCTCTGTCCCATAGGGGGTGGGGGAGAGGGGATTTACACTACATTTCTGATCTAGGTCTCTTTAAAACATAAGACAAAGTAGGAATTAATTTGTCCTAAGCTTGACAAAGGTTAGGGTGTCACGCTAATAGAGGAAGTGAAGTTTGCTATAGCTCCACCCTTTAATCAAGTGTAGGAAAAATACATAAAGACAAAGTAAATCCTAATCTGTCGTATGTTTTAAAGAGTAATAGATCAGAAATGAATAATATAAAAATTCTGAAAGAGGAAAAGAAGAAATAGGATAAAGGCAAGTTTGAGATGACAGCCACTTTAAGCATCTTATACACAGATTTTCATAGAACTCAGGATGCCTACTCGCACAATTGTGATTTTTGTATGGGTGATATGGGTGGCGGACCCCAATTTTACTTATAAATTTTGCAATACTGGCAGGATGGAACATCATATCCTGGCAAGTTATTTGTTGAGCTTTGAATATAGACACCCCTCCCCCCCATTAATTCAATTCATCTCTATGAGGAGATGCTGATTGGCGCAGCATGGAGTTTTGGTACACATGCGCAATAGCCTCCCAATGCTTGGATTGGCTGAGATCATCAAGATTGGAGACATGGCCAACCACAGCAAGACCAGTCACCTAAACACACGCGCGCGCGCGCACACACACACTTGTGTTGAGCCCTGCCCTAGCCTTATTTTTTCCATTTATAGCCCCAATGTTAGGCACAGTGATCTGTCATTCCCTCCATCCCCTTCTTTAAATTAAGCACCCACTTGTGGCTTGTACTTGTACCAAACTGGCGGTCATACTGATCCCACAGGTTTTTATTTTGCTTCCTTTTTAAAAAGGTCATTTGGAAAACACCCATTTATCCCAAACGCTTCCATTTTCACAGCTCACTGATTGGTTTGCCTGAATTTCATTTGAAGCGTATTTATGCAACTGAAGTTAGAGCAAACCGAACCAAAATATAGTCGAACTTAAAGGACCACTATAGTGCCAGGAAAACACTTGTTTTCCTGGCACTATAGTGCCCTGAGGGTGCCCCCACCCTCAGGGACCCCCTCCCGCCCGGCTCTGGAAGGGGGAAAGGGGTAAAAACGTACCTTTTTCCAGCGCTGGGCGGAGAGATCTCTGCCTCCTCTCCTCCTCCGTTACGCCCCGCCGGCTGAATGCGCACGCGCGGCAAGAGCTGCGCGCGCATTCAGCCGGTCGCATAGGAAAGCATTCATAATGCTTTCCTATAGACGCTGGCGTGCTCTCACTGAAAATCACAGTGAGAAGCACGCAAGCGCCTCTAGTGGCTGTCAATGAGACAGCCACTAGAGGATTAGGGGGAAGGCTTAACCCATTGATAAACATAGCAGTTTTTTCTGAAACTGCTATGTTTATTAAAAAATGGGTTAACCCTAGCTGGACCAGGCACCCAGACCACTTCATTAAGCTGAAGTGGTCTGGGTGCCTAGAGTGGTCCTTTAATTTCCCAACTAGATTCCTGACTTTGGAAAATAATCCTCAGAAATGTATTGAATTAATGTATCTATGAGGAACATCCAGTGTCTCCATGCAGAGTGTGGAGACACTGAATGATTTTTCAGCACTGAACCAGAAAGCACCTCTAATGGCAGTCTGCGTTCCTAAACAGTAATATAAACCTGTTTCTCTGAAAAGGCAGTGTTTACAATAAAAAAAAAAACTAAGCAAAAGGTAGGACGGTAAGTATAAAATAAAAAACGTCTGAACTGCTCATGGTGAATGGATCTGGCATGTTAAAGGGACACTAGTCACCAGAACAACTACAGCTTAATCATTACCTTCAGGCTTTTTGCTCTAAACACTGTCTATTCAGAGAAAATGCAGTGTTTTCATTACAGCCTAGTGATAACTTCACTGGCCACTCCTTAGATGGCTGTTAGAGATCCTTCCTGGGTCATGGCTGTCTAAAATGCATCCAAACATTCAGTGTCTCCACCCTCTGCATGCAGACACTGAACTTCCCTCATAGAGATTCATTGATTTAATTCATCTCTATGAGGAGATGCTGATTGGCCAGGGCTCTATTTGAATTGTGCTGGCTCTGCCCCTGACCTGCCTCTTTGTCAGTCAAGCCTATAGGGAAGCATTGAGATTGGATCAGGCTACCACTTCTGCTGATGTCAGCGGGCAGGTCTAAAGGAAACAGGGACAAAGCATGTAGCTGCAGACTTTAATACAAGCAAGGTTTTACTATTTTTAGGGAGGCACGAGGGGACACATGTTTGTGTTCATGACCCTATAGTGCTCATTTAAGTGTTTCAGTATGATATTTCTGTTGCTGCCAGAAGAGAAACTACAGCTTTCATTAACCAGACGGGAACAACAAGATTTCTGGGCAGAGAGGTTCATTCATTGGCTAAGTCAAAGAATGGATACAGGCACCTGGCTTCTGCAGTAGACCGATGTAGCGGAACCCAGGTAAGCAGTTTACTGATGTAAATTGTTTTGCAACCCTTACCATGGAACAACACCAGGGCTGTATGGAGTAGCTCCTTAACTTAGTACATAGTTAAAATACATTCACATGTGCTGCACGTTGAATATTTGGGCAGGTAGAGCTACATAAAATGTTACACATACCACTGAAACCTTAGTAAAACAATTTGAGGTAAAATTGAATCAAGTCTGGCTTGTATTAAAATCAATTGCTATAGTAGTTGTGGTGCAAATGAACCAACCCCCTGAAGTCTTAAATGGTCTGACTCCTTAGCTGGGTGTCCGAAAGGCACGGTTCCTACCTCCACTATCAACAATAGTGTGTTTGTGTATCTGAGCATGTGTGTGCGCGCGCGCCAGTAAGTATCTTAATGTGCAAGTGTATGTCGGTGTTTATGTGTGTATGTATATATGTAGTATGTATGCGGATTGTATGTGCATACATCCCAGTAATCAAAAATCAAAACAATCATTACATCCAAACACACCCCTGAATTCAAACTCCAAATTGATATACATTCAAACACCCTTCACTCAAGACACCAATACTATACACAAATGTAAATCTGCATTTAAAAGCAGACTACATCCAAACATACCCCTGCACGCAAATGCAAACATTACAAACACACAAAAGCACACCTGCTCTGAAGTACTACAACCTGTTTACTATCTGTATAAATTCGTATATATATATATATATATAAAAATCTAAGCTAAATAATAAACATTACACTCTGCCAATTAAAAGGATTTCACTATGCCACAAATATATTTTTGGAGTTCCACAATGTTGGTACACTACGTCAAATGGTTCCATGGGAAAAATGAATTGGGAACCCCTGCCTTAAGAAATACTCCAAGGCAACTTTAAATCCAATTGTATGTACAGATGCATTATAAATATACTTTGGTTTTGCATTGATTTGATCCACCTCTGTTCAACCAGAATGCTTCCAAGAACTATGAGCTAATCTCTGTCTTCCCACTCATACCTATGAGAGAATCACTAAGCAAGCAGACATGTCACGCATACACACTAATGGACAGTCTGCAAACATGTATAATGCAGCTGCATTAATCTCAAAGTGGATCTGTAATTTCAGTATTTCATAAACAACCCAGATGCCATAAAATAAAGTAGGGACTACTTTGTCTTATGGACAAGCCTGAGGTAGAAAAAAGGTAGAGCTCCGCTATCAACTATTGTCCAGTCACAGGTGACGGCTGTGAAGGTAAGGAAATGATCAATGGAGGCTGCATCCGCCATAGACCTCAGTGTTGTACTCTATTGCATGTGCGAAAGAAAAGGACATACAAGACCAAGATGGTGGTGTCCTTCAAAAACCCTTGAAAGTGTCAGCTGCTTTTGAATCATAAAATTGGTATATCACAAGGGCTTGGCAGAGCATAATGGGAGTTGTAGTCCAACTATATCTGGAATGTCACATTTCAATAACTTTGCCTTTAAAAAATTTTTTTTTACTTGTGTAAGTTATATGAAGCACCTGGTGCCTTGATTCATGAGTTTTTGTGGGATACAGTTCAGTCATGGCTTTTAAGTGTACTATTTAATTTGAGACTTTTTGATGCTCTGAAATCCCTGAATAAAAGGCAAATAGTCAAAACTCTGCACCTTGTCTTGTACTTGAGGTAATGTTTTTCAAGGAGTCAGGTGCATATTGACTGCCTATACTGACACGCTGTTCATTATTTGTGTTATGTTTTATATTTGTCTTTACTTTTGAGTACTTATTTGTAATGAAATAATCTACAATTATGACATTTGTCATAATTGTAGATTATTTCATGATATGATTTAATAAATGGCAATAATAATAATAATGACTTGATTTCATTTTGGTGTCCTGTGGTGTTACCAATTACATTGTATATGCCCTGTAACAAGGATGCACATGTTCATGCTCCAATTTAAAGCAATGGGAGTATTAGAAACCACTGACAGATGCCTATTTCAGATTTTGCAAAGGTCACTGCAAAATCAACTGATCAATGAGATTTGCCACAAACAAGATACATTCTCCCCCTCCCCCCCTTTTTTTTTTAAATGAGCACTGGGACAAGGAGAGAACAATCACTGTGGTCTCTACCAGCCTGAGGTGCAGACCACAGACTCCCACAATTTACTAGAGAACTTAACCCCCAGTGGACCACAGTCTCCCTCACTGCCAACTGCTAAGCAGGAAAGGGATAAAACAGTACACCCTATGCAGAGCACAGGGCAAGACACTCAGGGTTATTCGCTAGGCTAGATGTGTGTGTGTGTGTGTGTGTATACATATACACACACACAAACAAACACACACACACACACACACAAACACACACACACACACACACACAAACACACACACACACACACACACACACACATATACACATACAAAGATGTCGCGAACCGTTCGTGGCGAGCGTCTGCTGGAGATTGGCCAGGATGTGTCAGCTGACCGGGGCTCGTCACGAACCGTTCGCGGGAAGTTCGCGACATCACTACATATATACACATACAATCTAAAAAAAATTTTTAAAAAGATTGTCAACCATTTAACAGCAATGTACGCATACCTTTTTGACATTGTCCTCCTCCTCCTGTCTTTTTTCATAGTGTGAGAAGTCATCAAAAATGGAGGTGGTGTGTTTATAGGTCGCGATGATACGAAGCACTTGGCGTGCCTTGTCTAGAGGAACCTCCTGAGTGTCCCGTGAGTTAGTGACTGGTTTGTTCTCATTATTTTCCAGTCGAATGTGACGTAGCTGACCATTAGGTACGTCCTTGACAAAAACCCAGCGTACATCAAAACGTCCTTTCCACTTGTCCTGTGACCACACTCCTGCACAGGTATTGTAGTCCACAGCTGAGCGCATCTCTGCTACTCCACAAAAATGGCCACTGCCATTAACACTGAAAAGAAGGTAGACAGGGCCTTTACCATTAAGTGAGCGGTAAGCTGCATCCAGACGTTTGTTGCCATGTTCTGTGGAACACCAAATATTGTACTTTATGGATCGGTGGATGTCATCTTCTGAATAACTCTTGACAATGAATACTCGTCCAAGTTTAGGGCTACAATCAAAGTCTTTTGGATTGTAGTTGTTGATAGAGCGCAACTTCTCCAGAAAGGGATGTGGCTCGGTTGATGTAGATGAAGGCTGGGCTTGCTCAGAGCCTCTATTACGTGGTGCGGACCAGCGTGTTGGGATATGAGGACCAGAGTGTGCAACTGGAGCAGAGTGCCCAAGGACTGGGGGAGATGGTGGCTGACAAATGTTAGATGACGGCACTTTGTTGTCCCAAGTTCCTATTTCCATATTTTGCTTTACTGGTGGAGGAGGGAGGACCTTTGCAAGGTTTTGTTTGGCAGGCTTGCTGGCAATGTCCGCCCAAGAGGCCTGCTTAGGAGGAGCAATTGTAGCAGGGGGCATACTGCCAACTGGTGCCTTCAGACTATTTTCTCCTCCCAGCTTCAGAGCCTCCATACTCTGTTCTATACTTCCTACAGCCTTTCCAGTACCGAAGCTTGATTGCCCTTCCATCACAGCTCCACCCAAAGTACTTGGAGCATACGTGTAGTTGCCTCCATAGCCTGAATTCGTGGCAGATGTCCCAGGAGAGTTTCCTCCACTGCCCCAGGCTGAAAAGTCCATACCGCTTGGAAAGAAATTAAAGCTTGGTTGGCCAAGGAAAGGAGCACTACCCAAAGGACCAAACATTGTATCTGGCAGAAAATGTGGCTCCCCATTGCCTAGCTGACCATAGGAGGCCAAGTATGGCATGGTTGGTTGAGGATCACCCCCAGTGGACCATGCCGCTTCACTCAAGGAGTATGAAAAACCAATGGATGGGCTGTAGTAACTTGGAAGATATGAATCTGACAAGGCAGTGTAACCATTGTTCTTCAGTAGCCATGAAAGAGAGAGAAGGATTCACATAAAAACAATTAGTTCCTCATCTTTTAAATACAAGAAGGAAAAATGTTAATCATATGCTTATTTAATAATTTGGACCAAAGGTTAGACATTTGGAACCGTATATTCTGTTTTAACTGTTTAAGCAATTACATTTAACATTTCAGTCTACCCAACACGTAATTCATTACGTCCATAGTTGTGACAAAATATTCAAGCAGCGATTACGATGTAAGCCAGTCAAACCATCTCAGCAATTTTATAACACCAATGTAGCTACTAGTAGATATCTGCCAAATGTGTTAAAAGTAATGCTATACTATCTTGGGGCATAACAGCAATAATTTCTACAGCGCAAACATTGTGATGTAGAGGTGGCTTCTGAAAAGCATGTGCTGTGTCAACATATTATTGAATACATATTTTGTTGTGGAGGAACCTTCAGAATTATCACACAAAATTAAATGACCACTCAAGTCACATAGGCAACTTCATTGTAATGGAGTTGCCTGGGTGAAGTGGTCCTGACCATTTAACCCTGCAATGTAAAACACTGTAGTTTCTTTTAGGAACTGCAATTTTTACATTGCAGGGTTAAATCCACCTCTAGTGGCAATATTCCTCATAGCCGCATCCGCTGCACTGACAGATTAAAACTACGTCATGTGCCCATAGGTAATACAGTAATTCAGTGCTTTCCTATGGATGCAAGAAGTGCTTGCCGCGCATACACACCAAGTACCCAATGCTTCTCTATGAGGAACACTGGATTGGACCAACTATGAAGAAGGCCATACCTCCTCTTTATGAAATCACTGAAGGATCAAAAATAAGCTGAGCGAAGAGAACCTTGGCACTCCAAAAAAACAAAAAACAAAAAAAAACATTCTATTTTAATTTTTTTTTTTTTTAAAGCATCGGAGTGGGGGTGGGCTATGAAGTGTTAGGATAACAATTGGCTTAGTGTTCCAACACTTGGAGTTTTGCAACCAGTGGAAAGGCCCTTTACTGCCTAAAAGTGAATAATGTGACACTTACCGGTCTCTCTTGGGTGTGGAGATAGGGGTCAAATTCATCATCATTCAAACCATCCTTTTGATGTGCAGATCCATTTGTTACTAAAGAGATATATGAAAGTTAGCAATGACAGAATAACACTGATCAGTGACATCTGACTTTTTTTATTTTTTTATTTCTTAGCTATATAAGAAGGTCCCCTACTCTGTAACACTTTGAAAAAGCCTTCTGTATAGGTGAAACCCGCTAGTGTGTTACTTTTTATTTGTTTAATAAAATGAATCTGCATTTGTACCCCTGGACCTTCATTGGACATCTTTTATTGGAGAAGCTGTAGCTCACATTCCCGGATGGGGGACAAACCACCTATGCTGTAAAGTACTGATCCCTTTAACCAAACAAATCCCTATTTGCTCATCCATTGTGAGTATATTTCTCTTAATTTGATTTGTTTTATTAATACAGAGAACACTGTTCATATATATCTCACTGGAGCATCATCTGGAATACACCACGTGGATTATTGGCACAGGGATACGATACCAGAGGAAAATCAGGACCATCCTAACATCCACAGATGGGGATTGTCCCGTCCATACGCTGTGATCTGGAGCTGATCTTGAGCTCCAGAAAACTGAGAGGGCAATATATTTATTGCTTATATTCTGCCTCTGCTGTTATAGATATATTACACTATATTAGTATTCCTGTTCCATTTTGTTTTCTCCCTTATATTGGCTCCATTGGATTCCACACAAGGATTTTAATTGTTAAGCGCTGCTTCCCAACCTCCCCCGTTTTACTTATATATTCATTCATAGACAAATTCACACGGTAATCTGTGTTCACAAAGGCGCTTAAAACAAATTAGAAGGTGCTCTTAGTGCAGCAGCTCTCACACAAAAAAATAGGAACTCTTCAAACCTATTACAATTCAATCAGAATAAATACACTATATACACACAGAAATATGCAATAGTGAAAAAGTGCGTAGCGCTCAACATTTATCACTTACTCCCCAATAGTACTTTAGGGTTTGTAAGGTGTCTGGGTAGTCCTTGTTTCAGTCACAATGAATTCCTCAAAGAGAACAAAGAATAGAACAGGGGAAAATCACCCTGGTGGTGAAATCCTTATGATTAAAATGACAAATATAAACAAAAGGGTGAAGGTTGCTTCTCACCTGGAAAAGAGCCTGTGACTTGGCTCTGAGTGTAATAGCTTGTGAGTCTTGTTAAAGGGATCACTCTTGCCCTCTTTTAGCAGGTTAGAAGATGTACCAGGTATATGTATTTAAATTGAATTTATTACATAAACATTAAAAACATCAATAAAATTCATACATTACACTGGTATCTTGTCCAAAACGCGTTTCGCCGACCTCTCTCTGCTTCCTCCATTGAGTCATCCCTTTAACAAGACTCACAAGCTATTACACTCAGAGCCAAGTCACAGGCTCTTTTCCAGGTGAGAAGCAACCTTCACCTTTTTGTTTATATTTGTCATTTTAATCATAAGGATTTCACCACCAGGGCGATTTTCCCCTGTTCTATTCTTTGTTCTCTTTGGGTAGTCCTTGTTTCAGTCACAATGAATTCCTCAGACACCTTACAAACCCTAAAGCACTATTGGGGAGTAAGTGATAAATGTTGAGCGCTACGCACTTTTTCACTATTGCATATTTCTGTGTGTATATACTGTATTTATTCTGATATATTCATTCATACCTAGTGTAAGTCATAAAACCATTGGACAGAGTTATCCGCTCAATATTTTTTCAAATTAACTACCAACATTTCTTCGCATCAGGGCTTAATACCTACAGAGCTGCAAATATAGCTTGTTTAAAAAACAAAAAAGTAATATATATATATATATATATATATATATATATATATATATATATATATATATATATATATATATACACACACACACACAAAATATATATATATATATATATATATATATACATATACATATACACACACACATACACACATATATACATACATATATACATATACACACACATTACATGCCAAAAGACATTCAATTTTCCTCTGGATGTAGCTCAGGAGACAAAATATTTAAGAAATTGTAAATAAAATATACTCACAAAGATCCTTTGCAATTGGTCAATAACAGCTTTGTTTGGTTAAAGGGACACTATAGTCACCAGCACTATAGCTTATTGTATTTTTTCTAGTGAGTAGAATCATTACCTTCAGGCTTTTTGCTGTAAACACTGTCTTTTCAGAGAAAATGCAGTGTTTACATTACAGCCTAGTGATAACTTCACTGGCCACTCCTTAGATGGCTGCCTAAAATGCATCCAAACATTCAGTATCTCCTCCATCTGCATGCAGACACTGAACTTTCCTCATAGAGATTCATTGATTCAATTCATCTCTATGAGGAGATGCTGATTGGCCAGTGCTGTGTTTGAATCATGCTGGCTCTGCCCCTGATCTGCTTCTTTGTCAGTCTCAGACAATCCTATGGGGAAGCATTGTGATTGGATCAGGCTACCACTTCAGATGTCAGCAGACTGTTTTTTTGTTGTTGTTGAGGCAAAGAGCAAGCAGAGTTTCAGCTTCTGGCTTGAATACAGTAAGATTTTGCTATATTTATGGAGGCATGAGGGGCCCAGGGGGGCTAGATGGTGGTTTTAACACTATAGGGTCAGGAATTCATGTTTGTGTTCCTGACCCTATAGTGATACTTTAACCCCTTAAAAGACCAAACTTCTGGACTAAAAGGGAATCATGACAGGTCACACATGTCATGTGTCCTTAAGGACCATACCACCACTTTGTTGATGCAGGAAACTGGATGGCTCAATATTTAAAAAAATACATACATACACTTGGATGACTCCGGTAAAAATAACAATTTTTATATTAAACATATTGAGCCAGTTTCCTGCATCAACAAATCGGTGGTGTGGTCCTTAACCATACAAAGCAGTTTTATATTCTTAGTAATACATACAATTTCTTAAAGCAATATGATAGATATTTTCTGTATCCTAAGCTACAACGATTCTAGAGGATAATTTAAAAAATATATATATTTTTACAATATTTATATTTTAAAAGGTATATACAATGGAAAAAAAATTTTGTTTAATCATTAAAAACTTTTTTTTTTTTTTAAAGATAAGTAATCTTTGAGCACGTTAGAAAGGAAATCACTGAAATATTTTGCACTTTACTTAAAAAGAAGCGCTCCACGCGATATGATTTTGTAAAAGTTGTGATCTTTTTGAGAGTTTTGGGGAATTGTGCACTACATGGTAGCTGCTCACTTAAAAAAAAAAAATTACGAATGTATACATGTTTTTAAATATTGATTTACTATATAGTGCTTTTGCCCAAACACTTACCTGTTTCAAATTTATTTTAACTCACTATCCAAAAGTAATCTTCCACATATTATGGGTGTTATGTAAAAATGTATTCTGAAAGTGGTATAACAATGTAAAACGAGTAGAGTCAGCTATGGAATGTGCCTGCTGATTCTGCTCATTTCCACGGTGAATGCCCTACTAAAGACATAGTGCAACATTTTTATACATAACCCCCCATGACTCAGTTTCTTACTCGAAACCATTATATTTCTTCAGAGCCTACATCAGTTCATTATACTGTATTTACAATTTCTTCACTCTACTCTCCCCAAACAAAAACGTACCTTTGTTTCCTTGCCCTTTTGGTCGCTGAAGAATAAAGAAAAGATCATTAAATCCAAGTAAAAAATTAACATCAAGATTCATTTATAAATGTACTTATTAAAATAACCCTTTCCTCCTCAATTTAGAACTGTTAACGAAAGCATTTAAATTATCTATATTTCTCAACACTAACCTATTCAAAATAAAAAGTATTAAACGTTATTTACTAAAGTGACAATTCAAAATGAATTTCAAATTTAAGACCAGTGTGGTAAAACTTCAGTGATTTTGACCTTGAAGTTCACGTTGAATAACCATGTGAATTTTGAAACTGCTGCTGGATCTAAAAAGTAAACAACCATTTTAATGCACTTAGCAAATTACTCCGTATATGGACAGAAGGCACCATAATCACTACAGCCTGATTATGCTACCAGACCACTCCACAGTAAGTAGCCAGTTATCAAATTTTTTGACACTTCCTAATCGGTGCCTACTATACTTCAATCTTTTTGTGATCAGTAAAGTAGAATATCCCATTCTACGTTAGAAACCTCAACATGTCCCTATTTAGGCATCACTCATTTTCTGAGCTTGTCAGCTTACCATAAGTAAAATGAGTAAATGCAAGCAGTGTTTATACTGTATTAGATTTACACTATCACAAAAGAGCATACAAATCTGGAAGAGGAATCAATGTGGTGAAAATTAAGTCTTCTAGAAGAGGCAACCTCTGACACTCCAGATGTTGCGGATTACATCTCCCCACAATGCTGTCAAAGTATCAACAGAGATGTAGTCCACAATACCCTGAGTGTCAAATGCTGCCTAACCCTACTCTTGAATAAGGAAATTAAGCAGACAAAGGAGATAGAGGCAGACAGAAGACTACAAGGATGAATGTGTCTCGTATTGAACTATAATTTAGGATATAATGGGTAACAAAGAACAGCCACATGCCACTAAGCTACACTATACAGTTTTGCTCTTGACTGCTTGATATCAGAACTTGTGCCCAGCAAGAATGCAATAGTAACCAAATCTCAAAATTCATAGCAGCAGAGCTACTTTGCTGTGCTGAGCAAAACTCTAAAACAAAAGTACAAACCCCAGCATAGAAATATTGTCGACCACGCACAGGTTTTAAATCGAGTAAGAAAACAGCTTCTCTGTTTTAGTGCAGAGAACAATTTCTTCCATCAGTCAAATCCTCCTAACTGTTGGCTGGGCCAATCTGCACATAATTGAGATTAGCCAGGGCTGAATTGTGACACCCCAATGACACTGCCAGAGGTCAAGTTATACCTCCAGCAGCAAAGGGGTTAAACACGGAATGTGCAACAATTCACAGTGAAACACTGCATATGAGGACTCCAGGTACCACGACTACATGAAAACCCTAAACTGGTCATGGTGTATGGAGTTACCCTTAAGGGAACACTATAGGCATCCAAGCCAATTCATCCAAAAAAAAAGTTTGGGTGCCATGTGCACTTGCAGTTAAAAACATTGCAGTTATGCTGAATCATGATCATGAATATAAGAGAGGAGTCAGTATATATTGCAGTATGGGTAAGTGGATATTGGAAATACACAATACTAACTATTGTGAATTACGGTCAGTGTTTTTAAATAGATCACATCATTAGTTGTTGCTCTCAGTGAACTTTACGATGACTGTCCCACTTTTCACATGGTTTAGAACAGTGGTTCCCAACCCAGTCCCCAAGTACCCAGTTGTGTGTACCTAAGGTGTTTTTCGAATAAAAATTAAAATACACTTTAGACAACAGGGTAATCCCTAAATCCTGGACCGGTAGGGAGTACTTGAGGACTGGGTTGGGAATACCTTGTCTAGAACAATAAAATTATGTTAGGAATATATTGCGTTGGGTCATTTTAAAGCGGCTCTGTCATCTTCCAGGGTCATTGCATACTTTTACATACTCCTGATGTTGATAGGACCAATCAGGGTGATGAGGTCCAGGCATGCAGCATGGGTATGCTATACATAATGGACACTGTCAGCTTTATCCATCAGGAGCCTATGTTAGTGCTGGACCCTTACCACCAGGATTAATCACCTTGTGAAAGAGTACAATAATGATACCTAGGGAGGCTCCCGCAAGATCACAGGCTTTCATAGATATTGTCTCGTAATGGGCAAGACAATGGCTTTTTGCAGTGAAAATACTTGACGGGAGCAACAGTGCTTTTGCCAACTTGAAGCTTTACCATAAAAGTAGCACTTATATTGTCATTTTTTTCAGTGTGTTGAAATATCAATGAAGTTACAACAGTCTTTATGACCACTTCATAAAGAAAGTATCTTCATGAAATGCTCAAAAAAATTTCCATGACAGAGCCGCCATCAGGCTTTGCGCATTGGCATCATGCTAAAATAATGATAGCCAGTGCATCACTGCCAGAACGGAGAGTCATGCCATTCCTGTTGTTAAAGGCAAAGCATTAGGGGCACTGCCTGATTAAAAAGCAATAGTACCACCTGAATAAGGGTACTCCTTCCTTCATAATGGTCAATCAGCATAGCCCCCTATTGCAGTGGTTCCAAAACCAGTCCTTACGACCTAGCAGCAGGCCAGGGTTGGTCAATGTCTCCATTGAAAATATATATAATACATAAATCCTGGATTGTTGGTGGGCCATGGGGACTGGCTAGGGAACTGCTGCCCGCTAAAGAGTAGCAGTGTTGTTACGAGTCCATTGTTTAAGCGGTTGGCTTAAGGACCTAAGCAAACCCTGGGACATACGGTTACAATAGAAGCTGAACCATCCACTGTGAGCATAGTATTTAGAATACTTCAGTCAGAGATTGGTATTGATTGTAAACCAAAAAGCTAATTATAAATAGTTTTTGACAAGAAGAAAACCCAGCAGTGCAATGGGCTATGCAAGTCCTTTTTTTGCTCACAAAACAGGGCATAAATTAACACAGGGTCTGCAGAGAGGCAAATGTGAGATAATTATGAACTTTATTTAAGCTAAAACTGAAATGTCAGTTACAGTTTGGATGTGGAATGTGACAGACAACTTAAGTACCTAAATATCAATGAGTCCTACAAAACAAACCCCCCCAACCCCCCCAATTTTTTTTTTTAAAAACTCACCTTTTTCCCAGCGAAGTTTAAAGGAAACTTTTATATATAAAAAATACAAATAAAAACTCAATTGCTACCTAGAATGTCAATTTAAATTACATGAAAACCACATGTGGAGAGTCTTTGGGAATCTTTTGAAGTATTCAGTACAATACAAGAAAAAGAACAATGAGAAAAGGCAGGTGATCTGGTTATGTCAGAGGCTAAGTGAAAGTCGCAATGTGTAATTGAGTAAGCATTAAGAGTTGTAAATAAATCAGAAACAAATTCCCAAGCAAGTGAGAGAAAATGACTGATCGTACAAAATGACAAACTAAAGAGAAATACGAGGGATAGATTAGAAGGAATAATATATTTGGGACACTACATGAAAAGAGCTGTAGACTCTGCTCTAGAATGCAACATGAAAGCTAACTAGCAACCAAGGCTTGCAAACCACAGGTCCCTTCCTGCTCAGCCTAACTGAAAAGAGGGTGAGCATCTCTGCAGCTTCTATAGTAGCCAATGTGAAAAGGCATTAGCCATCACTGCAAAATGAGAGTGCAGGGACATGGGGTGCTTGCCAGCCATGCAAACAGTACTCCCAAATAGGAGGAGAGTGATGTACAGAAAGACCAGCTGTGGTGGAGAGCTGCATGTTGTAACAGAGCTGTAAGGAGGACAATGACCAAGTGCTGCAGATAATGAACACAGATGGTGTGGCTGGTAAGTGTGCTGTAGCTGGAGAGCAGGAGGAGGGAGGAGCCAGGAGGGAATACTGGGAGGATTGAGGAAAAGGAAATCATAAATAAATAATAAAGGGAAATAAGAGTAGGAGTAAGCCATAGAATATAGCAATGGGTATAATAATAATAATCACACGAGAAACCGGGCAACACACTGCGGGACTAGAACACATGGGGGGGGAAGGGAGATCGGGTGGAAAGTCACACAAGCGGTGTGTCATGGGTGAGAAAGCGGGCGATAGCGGAGAGTACGGAGCCCCACAGATGGATAGAGATAGAAAGAAGCACGGAGGACAGATATCAAACACTCCATAATACCGGCTCCAGCAGACTACTGGCGGACATGTCGGCGACGGAATGACCAGAGCGGTGCAGGAGGAGCGCGCCCTCAAAGCGGGAAGGGGGCGTGTCTAGCCGCAGGCATGCGCACAAGAGGCACTGACGCAGCGGCCATATTTGATAGGGGCAAGTAGAGGATTTCAGAAAGGTTTGACTCGGGGCCCATATCGTACTACATACTAACGGCTTGCCGCAGGGACATATAGCGTGTGATTAGCTAAAATAACCAACAAGCTTTTATTCTTTAGGTAGAGGATACATTGAGCTGTTTACATAAGAGGTGCGAGGCCTTTCTCCGTTGTATGTTTTACTCTATAGATCAATACGCTGTAGTGTGTAAGGTTTCTATCTTTGGAGTGTAAATAAAACATCATACCAAATAATCCAGGATTCCAGCATCAATCATGGCGCGACTGGAAGCCATTTTATGCGCGAGGGCAGCGCGATCGGCAATGTGCATGCGCTCTCTGGAACACGCTCTATCCCTTTCCGCAATTCGTCAACATCCGGTCGCTGCGCATGTTTTTTTTTTTTTTTTAAAGGAACTTTATTTACAGCATGTTCTTATTGCAAGATGTTTTTCAACCTTACAGTATCATTTGCTAAATAGAGAATTCATAGTGAATTTCAAATTTGAGACTAGAGTAGCTGATATAAAAGCATAGCTGACTGAATTTTTGGGGGGCATTTTCTACCTTAAACTTGAAATTCATCTTGATTTCTCACTATAGGATTGAGCAGTGGGATCTATTGTATATCAATGGATATATACCTTTTAAAAAAAAAAAAAAATTTTTACCTTCATAAAATGTGTTATTTACTTCAAAGCTTATTAGAGAGAAGTGCATATACACCTAATCAAATTAATATTTAGTTTGGATTGATTTCCAGATTTTGCTAGACTTGCACACATCTGGTTTGGACAAATCAAATTCCTTTTAAAGGAATACTGTAGTGTTAGGAATATAAACATGTAGAGTATTCGTAACACTATAGTTATCTGTTGAACGTTTAGGCCACCAGTCCACCTCTATGCGCATTAAAGGGAACTTGTCATGATAAAATGCACTTTAGCTCTTTTAAAAGAGCCTTAAATTCCACCACTACATTGTGCAAGCTGTTTTGCTAGCAAATGTATAAATTTGGATAAAAATCTATTTAAAAATATGTTCTCTACCATATGACTGTCAATTCCTCAGCACACACTCAATGAAAGTCAGAGAGAGCAGAACAGACGTCCTACAGGAAGTCCCTCTGCACTCCAACCATAGCGCGTGTGCTGTAGTTGCTATAGTAATACCCTAGCCGACATTGAGAGAGCTGGCTAGGGATTATAGAAATGTGACATTGCGCTGTTCAAACGCTGTCAATCTAGCAACAAAGCCAGCATGTCAGCATCATGGAAGAGGTTTGCCCTACTTGTGGAAGTTTCCCCAAGCAGGGCATATCAGCGTAGACTGCAGCAGGAGCAAAGTGGACCCGGAGGTGGGTGTTACACAAATGTAATGCCCAACTCTTTAATGAGATCTTGTATGGGGAGCAGAAGGTAGTAGTGGGTAATGTAATGATGCCCACTCTTTTGGTAATGTGCAACATACATCTCTCAGTACAGTCCTTGCTCCATTCCAATATTTCCCCTTTTGCCCAGTCAATATGAGGATTGTGTTTACTAAGCCAAGGAAATCCTAATAAGATGGGACAAGAAGGAGAAGCAGTTATTTGGAATGTTATGTCTTCCTTACGTAAGGCACCAATGGAAATGTTAGTGTGCAAGGTTTTGTGGGTAATTAAGAGTTGAGAGAGAGTTCTCCCATCAATAACGTCAATGGCCATAGGTGATAATCTCTCCTTGATAGGTATAGAATGTTTTTTTTACAAAATGTACATGAATGAAGTTTCCTACCGCACCATCGGGGCTTTGCATGAAAAGTTCTTCTTTTTACATTTGGCCGTAATATCAAGGAGGAATCTATTTTTGTTACTCCCGGAGGACGTATCCATCACACCTAAGACCTCTCCCCCTCTGACAGGCTAGTGACCCCCAACTGCATACTTTCTCTTTTATTCGGGTTCGTACTGTACAGGGAGGTCAGGAACAATAGGTCTGGAGAAACAAGGTGCTAATGACATAGCCATAAGTCTGGTCTTATTTCTGGTAGTTTTTCTAGTTCTAAGTCTATTATCAATATGCATGACAAATGTGATAATCTCATTTAATTTTGTAGGTAGATCTTTGGCAGCAATCTCGTCCAGGATTGCTTTGGATAATCCCTTTTTAAATGCAGAGATTAACCCACTGTTAGTCCAGTCTACCTCAGAAGCCAAGGTTCGAAATTCTGAGGTAGACCACTTCCCTTGTTTGATATGCATTAGGGCAGTGGAGGCATCATCTTCCCTGCTTAATGGTTCAAATGTTAATTTGAATTTCGCAAGGAATTCCTGGTAATTATATGCAATACTCCTATTACTCTCCCATAACAGATTGGCCCAAGCTAAGAAGGCTTTACCTTTAAGTTGGTTCATTAGATAACCAATCTTAGATCTATCCGAGGGAAAATATCCCAGTGAGGCCTTAAAGTGGTACTCAATTTGATTCAGAAATCCCTGGCATTCTTGGATATTACCATCAAAATGTGGGGGATGAGATAGGGAGATAGTAGGTGCCTTATGTACTATAGGTTACATAGGTGAAAAGAGACTTGCGTCCATCAAGTTCAGCCTTCCTCACATTAGTTTTTGCTGTTGATCCAAAAGAAGGCAAAAGAAAACAAAACACAATTTTGCAACAAGCTAGGAAAAAAAATTCCTTCTTGACCCCAGAATGGCAGTCAGATTTATCCTTGGATCAAGCAGTTATTACCCTACACTGAAAGATTATATCCTTGAATATTCTGTTTTTGCAAGTATGCATCTAGTAGCTGTTTGAACATCTGTATGGACTCTCATAAAACCACTTCTTCGGGCAGAGAATTTCACATCCTGATTGTTCTTACAGTAAAAAAACCTTTCCTTTTCCTTAGACGAAATCTTCTTTCTTCCAGTCTAAACGCATGGCCTCTTGTCCTATGTAAAGTCCGGTTTGTGAATAGATTTCCACACAATGGTTTGTATTGGCCTTGAATATATTTGTATAATGTTATCATATCCCCTCTCAGGCGACGTTTTTCTAAACTAAATAGGTTTAAATTTGTTAACCTTTCTTCATAGCTGATATGTTCCATTCCTTTTATTAATTTTGTAGCCCGCCTCTGCACTTTTTCTAGTGCCATAATATCCTTCTTTAGAACAGGTGCCCAAAATTGCACAGCATATTCAATATGTGGTCTTACCAGTGATTTATAAAGAGGCAAAATGATATTCTCGTCCCGAGAATGAATGCCCTTTTTCATGCATGACAATACCTTACTGGCCTTGGCCACTGCTGATTGACATTGCACATTGTTGCATAGTTTGTTGTCTATAACAATTCCCAAGTCCTTTTCATGTGTTGTTATCCCTAATTCGCTTCCATTAAGGGTATACGTTGCTTGTGTATTCTTTACGCCGAAGTGCATAACTTTGCATTTTTCAACATTAAATTTCATCTGCCATTTGAGTGCCCAGTCCCCCAGTCTATCTAAATCCCTCTGCAGCAAAGTAATATCTTGCTCACATTGTATTATTTTACAAAGGTTTGTGTTATCTGCAGGGCCGTCTATAATATGAATAGGACCCTGGGCAAAGCATTTTCTTGGGCCCCCTGGGCCCTGTCCCTGCGCCCCCCTCCCCATTACGCCCAACCCGTAATCACACTGACAGATATACTGACACATACACACACAGACAGACATATTAAAACATTCGCAGATACATACTGACACACACATACACTGACACACAAATATATACTGGCAAATATATTGACACACATTCAGACATACTGATACACACACAGACACACATACATAAAAACAGACACATACACTGACATATATACTGACACACACACACACAGACACATACACTGACAGAAATACTGAAACACATACACTGACAGGCGTATTGACATACACAGACATACTGACATACACACACAGACATACTGACATACACACACATACATATACACACACAGTATGTCTCTGTGTGTGTATGTTAGTATGTCTGTGTGTGTGTGTATATGTTTGTGTGTGTATGTCAGTACGTATGTATGTGTGTGTATGTCAGTGTGTGTGTATGTCAGTGTGTGTGTATGTTTACGTCAGTGTGTCTGTGTGTGTGTGTATGTGTATGTCAGTGTGTCTGTCATACTGACATACACACACAGACATACTAACACACACACACAGACATACTGACATACATACACACAGACATACTGACATACACACACACAGACATACTAACACATACACACAGACATACTGACATACACACTCACACATACATACTGACACAAACACACACACACACACACACACAAACATACTGACATACACACACACACACACACACACACACAGACATACTAACACAGACATACTGACATACACACACACAGACATACTAACACAGACATACTGGCACACAGACATACTAACACACACACAGACATACTGACATACATACACACAGACATACTGACATACACACACACACAGACATACTAACACATACACATAGACATACTGACATACACACTCACACATACATACTGACACAAACACACACACACACACACACACACAAACATACTGACATACACACACACACACAGACATACTAACACAGACATACTGACATACACACACACACACAGACATACTAACACAGACATACTGACATACACACACACACAGACATACTAACACAGACATACTGACATAAACACACACACACACATACATACTGGCACACACACAGACATACTAACACACAGACATACTGACATACATTTAGCCGCCCTCCAGGTTCTTACCTTTTTATGGAGGGTGGTTTCCCTGGGGTCCAGTGGCAGGCTGAGGCAGCTGGGAGTTATCTTGAAGAACTCCCCTCCTCCCTGCTTTCCTCCTCCCACGCGGCTATTATCTCCGGTGGGAGGAAGTGACACACCGCACTCACTTCCTCCCAGCCGGTACAGAAAGGGGCCCGGTCGCGCTGTTTAAGCGTCACAGCGTCCGACCGGGCCCCTGCTGACACATGGTAACCGGGTGGCCCTTAGTGCATGGGCCACCCGGGGGGCCTCCTTAGATGGCGGGCCGGTGCGGCTGCACCGCTGGGTACATGGGGGCTGCTGAAATCACGGGCCCACGGGGCAGCTGCTCTGGGGCTCCCCAGGAGCAACTGGGCCTGGGGCATTTGCCCCGTGCTAAAGACGGCCCTGGTTATCTGCAAACACTGAAACATGACTTTTAATGCTGTCTTCAAGATCATTTATAAACATGTTAAATAGAAGGGGTCCCAGAACAGACCCCTGAGAGACACCACTTCCTACCTCTGTCCAGCTTGAAAATTTACCATTAATGACAACTCTTTCTACACTGTTTTTAAGCCAATGTTCTACCCAAGAACAAGCATTTTCATCTAGACCGATTTCCTTGAGTTTGAACACTAATCTATTGTGTGGAACTGTATCAAATGCCATGGCAAAATCCAAATAAATCACATCCACTGCAACACCCTGATCTATACTTCTACTTACTTCTTCGTAGAACGCAATCAAGTTAGTTTGACATGACCTGTGCTTCATAAAACCGTGCTGATTTTTGCTGATAACCATGTTCTTCTCAAGGAATTCTTGAATATTATCCTTTAATAACCTTTCAAATATTTTACCAGCCACAGAAATTAAGCTCACAGGTCTATAATTTCCAGGCAAGGATTTTGAACCCTTTATGAATATAGGAACCACATCTGCCTTCCTCCAATCCTCCAGAACACTTCCTGAAAGAAAAGAATCTTCAAAGATTAAAAACAGAGGTTCACTTATTTCTACACTTAGTTCCTTAAGTACACATGGATGGATACCGTCAGGCCCTGGAGCTTTGTTTATATTACCTCTCTTTAGTTGCTGCAGCACCTTGTCTTGAGTTAACCAATTACAATTATTCTGCAAGTTTTTAGTAGCAATCATTTGCACATCTATTGCCATAGGTTCTTCCTTAATATATACAGGGGAGAAATAGTTATTTAAAATTCCTGCCTTTTCCTGGTCTTCATTAACTAACACCCCCGTTTCAGTTTTTAGTGTACCTACACTTTTATTTAGGTGGAGGTACTTTAGGCAGAAATGACATAGTTGGAGAAACCTCAGGCTAAAGATGCGCTGACTTAACGTACCAGAGAATAGTCAGAATACATGCCGAGGTCGGGGACACCGAATGAGACACAATGATGAGGGAAAGCCAAAAGTCAGGGATACCAGAATACAGGGAAGTCAAACGAAGCAAAAGTCAATAACCAGAAATAAACGCTCAGTAACACACTCTCGGACAACCACTAAAGGAAACCATGAAAGGGCAATGAGAAAAAGGAAAAAAGAGTTTAAATAATCCTTCTTCAGATCCGATTGGCCGTAACCGGCCTTTGACCCCAGAACGTGCCTGCGCGTCCTTTGCGTGACGTCACACACACGCCGACGTCGTCAATACCGTGGGCGGACGTGGGGTTACAAATAGGAATGGACCCGCAGTGGCCGGCGTCCTTCAACATTCTGCAGGAGTCAGATACACAAGCACAGGGCTGCTGAGTAGCACCTCTGGTGTTACTAGGCAGCAATTTCTCTGAAAAGGCAGTGTTGAAATTCATTGAAATTAATGTAGTGACGTGCTGTAGTGCAGGGGTGTCCAAACTTTTTCCAAAGAGGGCCAGATTTGATGAAGTTAACATGCATGAGGGCCGACCATTTTGCCTGACATTCCTTGAACCATTAAAATTAAATGCAAATGAACTATTTTATGCAAACTTTATTGCAAATTACATACTTTTCATTTCACCTCTTTATTCTGTTTCTCTTTCTTCTGTCCCTTCTCTCTTTTATTCTGTCCCTTTTCTCTTTTTTTTCTGTCTCTTCATTCTGTCCCTTCTCTCTTTTATTCTGTCCCCTTTCTCTTTTAGTCGGCCCCTTCATTCTCAGCCCCTTCTCTCTTTTATTCTGTCCCTTTTCTCTTTTATTCTGTCCCTTCTTTCTTTCATTCTGTCCCCTTTCTCTTTTATTCTGCCCCTTCATTCTCTGTCCTTTCTCTCTTTTGTTCTGTCCATTCATTCTGCCCCCTCTCTCTTTTATTCTGCCCCTTCATTCTTTGCCCCTTCTCTCTTTTATTCTGCCGCTTCTCTATTTTAGTCTGCCCCTTCATTCTCTGCCCCTTCTCTCTTTTATTCTGCCCCTTCATTCTCTGCCCCTTCTCTATTTTATTCTGCCCCTTCATTCTCTGTACCTTCAAATCCCGCGACGTCCACATCCTAGAGATTGCGAGAACTCAGACTGAAGTCACTGCACTCAGGACCGCGGCGTTCAAAGATCCAGGGATCATGAGCAGCGCTCGAGGATTCACTGGGGGCCACAACAGATAGCTTAGCCAAATAACCTGTAGGGCCGTATTAAACCGGCAATTGGCCCGCAGGCCGAACTTTGGCTTTTGACTGCTGTAGTGGTTCTGGTGACTATAGTGTCCTTTTAAATAATACCTGTGAAGTTCAACAGATTCAGGCATATATCAAAAGGAATATGATTCGTTTGAACCAGCTAAATTTTACTGCTTATATTAAAAAATCACACACATTTTAAAGGAACACTTCAGTCAGTTTCAGAAATGCTTTAGGGGTTAGCTGATGGTCCACTCTTTCCCATTTAATAAAGGTACAACTTTTAGGAGAACTGCCACTTTTATAAATGGCATTAGCTAAGAGCATTCACAGCAGTAGTAAGCACTGCTCATAGAGAAGCTTTCTATTTACAGAAAAATGGGCTTCAATGCGTCTCAATGAAAAACACTGAATTTTATTAAAGGACACGGAGGCTCCTATTAGGCTTTATCTCTTTCTTTATTCCCCAGCAGCAAAGAAAGGATATTGATATTTTTAATATAGCAATAACAAGAAAAACAAATACCCTTAAGGGTTAACCATATAACATTCCATATACATTAACCAATAGGATCAGTCCTTGTACTATATCCCGTCATGTGAGCTAAACTACTTCCTCTTTCTTTGCTGCTGCCTCAGCTAAGTACCACATAATTTGTTTCAGCTCCACAAAATATTGTGTATTTTTGTTAATTGTGTTTTCAGTTTCTTCTGGTTTAATATTGTTATCTTTATACTATTCTTTTTTCTGTATAATCCCCCCTCACCTCCCCAGCCCAGAACGAGCCGTTTAGCTGCCAGACGGACGGCTGTTGCTTTGACGGCCATTTCCGCCGCTCACGCATGCGCGGTTCACTCTCGCATGCGCGGTTCACTCTCGCGCATCGCAGCGGCCATCTTAAGGGTTGGCAGATTTGCCGCTCTTTTCACTCTATCAGGGAGGGGCGCAGGCTGATTGGCTGAGGGAGGTGTTGGGCAGCTTACCAGTGTCCCCCAGGAGTCATTCCTGAGGGAACACTCGGTAAGCTGCCATATTATATGTGCCTTTTGATAACTGTGCCTTGCCCTAGCTGTTCAGCTTAGTGTTTCAGCCAATTACCTTGTGCTGCTGGTATACAAACCACTGCAGTGCTGTCAGTGTACATTTGTCCACTAGTGACAGTTCTATTTTTAGTGCCTTTCTCCCTCTACTATTACTGTGACACATCCTGACCACTATGCAGTCCCCTGCTAGTAAACAGACGGTTACCCCCCCACCACCCCTAATAAACCCAGCAAACGTGATACGACAGCCCAGTCTACAAACACTGCTGCCACTGGGGGAGTTGGGGACGCATCCCAGGAGCACGTGAACTCAGAGGAGTTCCAGGCGCTCCTGGATGCTACGATCAGTAGGTCAGTTACACAGGCCATTTTTACCGCCATGGGGGCGATGTCGGACACCCTGTCCCACTCTATCTCCTCCGCTATTAGGGCATCCAGCCACAACCCTGGCTCTGCACCCCCTATATCCGCTGATAACAAGCCAATGGACCCTAGCGGCCGCAAGGCTACGTGCAAATCGCACCATCTGTCAGGTGCTACCTCCAAAACCAGTAAGACAGACAGGTTGCGCCCTGTTGAGATTGATGACGTGGTGCTCCCACGTAAAAGAGCCCCCCGCCGGGCAAAAACGGTGCGGACTTGGAAGAGGGCAAAAGCCCTATCTGATCTGTACGACTCCGATTCGGACTCAGAGGAGGTGTCAGATGGGTCCGATAACATCGACCCACTTTTTTCAGATAATTCGTCCCCCGAACGCGGCGAAACCGCGCCTCCAGCGTTAGACGCGAAGCACGAGACGGATGAGTCCGCTGTGTTAGATCCCCAAGGGGAACCCCTTTTTGATCCCGACACCTTGCATAATCCGCGTTCAGCGGATTGGTACCCCACAACTCATGTGGCCATTTACATTGCGACTAGGGTCAGAAAACCCCTCGACAAGGCCACAAGAAACAAGCTGAGGGCGGAATGCCCACGCCCCACTGTCCCAGACATGGCCTGCATGACCCCTGAGGTGGACCCCAAGGTCGCTCAGTTTCTGGGTAAGTCAGGATGGAGGGCCAAGAAGGGTTTGGACTACTCCTTAAAGCACTGCCAAGACAAGATCCTGGACATACTCGGGCCTATAGCTAAAATCTTCGATATGGTCGAAGCGGCCCTTACTGGGGGGACCTCAATTGACTTAATGGCCATCAGAGGATGGATTCAGAGAGGCATATGCCTAATAGGAAATGCCAACACCTCTTTGGCCACAGAACGGCGTAAAGCCATATTGATGAAAATCGAGCCAAAATCTCCGAGCCTGGCACACAGGCAAAAGGTCTCTTATTCGGAGACAATTTTGTTAAAACCCTGGGCAATTATGTCAACACATTTACGGCACTAGATAAGGCACAACATAATATGAAGCGTTCTCTCAAAAGGTTTTCGGTGGGGCCGGCAGACAGCGGGGCCGTCTGTCTGGCCGCCCCTCCCGGACTCCGTTCCGGGGCTATCGAGGCTCCGCCACAACACGGTTCCATCCACCCGAACCAAGGGCACAGTCACCATTCTTCCCGACCAGGGGCAGGTCGTGGCATCCACGCGGAACCAGGGGATCCTCCTATGGCCGTCGGCCTTATGGTGAGTCACTCCCCATTACACACCCTTCCCTTGGTACACGTCGGGGGCAGATTGTTTCATTTCCAGGATGCGTGGCACAACCTAACCTCAGATACATGGGTCCTAGAGACCATCCTCGGCTATCACATCGAATTTACACAACACCCGATTCAACTCTCATTGCCACATCGGATTGTTTTTTCCCCACTAGAAAAACAGCTGGTGTCAAAAGAGATTCGCACACTGGAGGAGAAATGTGCGATATACAGGGTTCCCATTACCGCCCCCGGGTTCCTAAGCAACATCTTCCTAGTACCCAAGAAAGGTGGGGGCACGAGGCCAGTAATAAACTTGCGGCCTCTCAACGCCTTTGTCACATACCATCACTTCAAGATGGAAGGGATACACTGCCTCCCAGACCTGCTAAGACTGGGAGACTGGATGGTAAAATTGGACCTCCAAGATGCATACCTCACGATACCGATTGCCGAGGACTGTCAACACCTACTTCAATTCCAATGGGAACAGACAATGTGGCGTTTCCGCTGCCTCCCTTTCGGCCTGTCTTCAGCCTTGTGGTGCTTCACAAAACTGCTGAAACCAGTAGTCGCCCTCCTTCGCAGCAGAGGTGTACGTCTGATCATATACCTCGACGACATGCTGATCATGGCCCAAGACACCCAGCTACTGAACCAACACCTATCCTGGGTGTTGACCCTTCTGCAAAACCTGGGTTTCCTAATCAGTTGGGACAAATTGATCCTGCAACCTTCCCACTCGATAGAGTTTCTGGGCTTCGATATAGACGCAATGCACGGAACTCTCAGTTTACCTACCGCGAAAGTAAAACTTATCAAGAAGGAAATCCGGAGGACGTTGACTCGACCAGTCTTAACCCTCCGACAGCTAGCCAGGATAATTGGCCTGCTCTCTGCCTCTATACAAGCGATCTTCTCAGGCCCTCTCCACTACAGATCCCTGCAACAGCTCAAAGCAACCCACCTACGCTTGGGTCACTCCTATTCAGATTCTGTACCTCTAGACTGCGCGGCAAAAGAGGAACTGGCATGGTGGCTTCAACACATGGAAGCATGGAACGGCAAGGCAATCTTCGGAACCACTCCGGATCTAGTTATAGAATCCGACGCGAGCAGACTGGGATGGGGGGCTCGGTGTGGTCCTACCTCTAGAGGTGGAAAATGGTCTCCCGAAGAAAAAGAACTCCACATCAATGGTTTGGAACTCCTGGCTGGGTCATTCGCCCTATGGAGCCTCCTCGGACACACAACCAATTGTTCCATACTTCTGCGCATGGACAATATCTCAGCCGTCCGCTACATCAACCACTTGGGTGGCACGAGATCCTCAACCCTCACGAACTTGGCGAAGGAATTTTGGCATTTCTGCCTGAGTCGCAACATATCAGTACAGGCGGAATACCTCCCAGGACTCTCCAACACCGTAGCGGATTGGAACTCCAGGCATTTACGGGACAACAGTGCATGGCGATTGAATCGCACAATATTCCAGAAGCTCCACCAACTCTGGGGAACAATGCACATCAACCTTTTTGCCTCCCGGCTGAATGCTCAACTCCCCTCATTCTTCAGCTGGAGACCGGACCCAGACGCCACGGCAGTGGATGCCTTCCTACAAAATTGGCCGAACACCAGGCACTACACTTACAGCGCTCCCGAGCATCGTTGGTTTTGATAACACCATTCTGGACGGCACAGCCATGGTTCCCTTCGCTCATGGAAATGTCAATCGACCTCCCCAGATTGATCCCAGGGGGCACGGAATTATTATCAGATCCCGATGGGAACTCTCACCCACTTCTAGTGCAAGGCCATCTCAGACTCCTAACATGGCTCCTCTCCGGGGACCCTGGACCATGCCGAATGTTTCACAAACAACTTTGGATTTATTGGCAGGAGCTTGGGCCCCAGGGACAAGACGATCCTATGCTCATGCCTGGAACACATGGTGTAGTTGGTGCGTGGAACAGCACGTGGATCCCATACGTGCTCCTATAAATCAGGTTCTGGGTTTCCTTACTACCCTTTACGATCAAAGCTTGGCTTACCGCACCATAAACGTGTACAGGTCGGCGATTTCAGCTGGGCACAATGGTTGGGAAGGTTTCCCGGCTGGGAAGCACTTATGGATCTGTCGTCTCCTACGGGGCATAAAATCTGCACGTCCACCACAACCTCGTTACACGGCCTTATGGGATGTGAATATGGTCCTTCGTTTGTTGCAAGACTGGCCCCCAAACTCGAACCTCACACTCAAGCAAGTGTCTGCAAAATTAGCAATGCTTCTGTGCTTAATTTCCTGCAAAAGGGTATCAGACGTGCGGGCCTTGGATATCGATGCACGATCATTCACGCCGGATGGTGTCCTGTTTAATATCACCAGATGTACAAAGTCGAACATCACTTCAGTCTTCTATCCCTCCTTTCCTCACAACGCTAACCTCTGCCCGGTGGCATGCCTGCAGGAATACGAATTGCGGACCCAGTCATTCCGGAACCCAACCACACATGATCTGTTCTTGGCAGTGAGGAAACCTCATCAACCAGTATCCACGGGAACTCTGACACGCTGGGTGAAATGGATAATGTCAACTGCTAACATCGACACAGCTGTTTACGGAGCACATTCTACTAGAGGCGCTATGGCCTCTAAAGCATTCTCCATTGGATGTAAACTGGAAGACCTCCTCCGCACAGCTGATTGGTCCCGAGAATCGACGTTCAAAGAATACTACTTTAGACCAACAGAACATATCTCGTCTAGGGTCATATCACAGCTTTAAACTAGCCTAATAGGAGCCTCCGTGTCCTTTAATAAAATTACCAGATTTTACTAATTACATGACGTAAAGTCATGATTTTATAAAGGACACGGAGGCGAGTATTAGCCCGCCCACTGAAAGGTAAGCCATACATGTATTTTTCCCACCCACTTGCTCATAAACAGGTTATAGCGTTTTGGATGTTTAGATTCAAGGTTATATAGTAATAATTGTAATTTAGACTGACTTATACTAGAATGAAGTAAACAATGTTTTCAGATATAAACGTTTGTTAAAAGACCGGTACAGCATATATGCATGACAACGATATTCGAATATATTTTACCATATATCTCTCTGTCTCCTACAGCTTAACCCTGTGATGACATAACCGGGATCGTCCGCTATCTCCTCATTATTTCGGAACATTCGCCGGAACCCCTACGGGAGATTACCCAAGTTTGAGAATTTTTTCCTTGTTGATGTGTTCAGCTTTGGCGTCAGCCAGAAAGAGGAAGTAGTTTAGCTCACATGAGGGGATATAGTACAAGGACTGATCCTATTGGTTAATGTATATGGAATGTTATATGGTTAACCCTTAAGGGTATTTGTTTTTCTTGTTATTGCTATATTAAAAATATCAATATCCTTTCTTTGCTGCTGAGGAATAAAGAAAGAGATAAAGCCTAATACTCGCCTCCGTGTCCTTTATAAAATCATGACTTTACGTCATGTAATTAGTAAAATCTGGTAATTGGCCAACAGATCATTGCACACACCTTGTCACACAGATATAGACACTAACACACAGATACACACACTGACACATATACACACACACACCCTGGCATATACACATACCTGGATACACAGATACATGCACTGGCATACACACACACACACACACACACACACAAACACCTTTGCACACAGATACGCTCACTGGCACATATACACACATTGGCACATACACACACTCCAATACACACATGGGCACATGCACACACACCCAGATACAAACTCTGATAAACAGATACACGCACACAAGACACAGTCTGACATATACACACACACTCTGATACACATGACACATAGATACACACACACAAGCTGATACACACACACACAAACACAACCTGACATACACACTCAGGAACACACTGACACATACACACCCGTGTAATTTTGGCAGCAAATTCCAATTGGGTTTTAGTCATAGTCTTTTTTTTTTCTTTTTAAATTCTTAATTTTTAGCTTTGCATAAATAGTACAAACAGGCTTGCAATGCCTCAACAGCTAGAGCAAGCTATGCATAAAACATATTGATTCATTTGTATGGCATTTAATAATTCTGCAAATGTTTTTTTTTTTTTATGAAACAAGAGAAAACAAGCTGAGTATCTAATAAAGGTACCACCACAAAGATATCTCATAATGAAAGATGGGAGAATCCAGAGTTTTATAAAATAAAGGGGAAATTAATACTTGCTCAGAGAAAACTTGAATGAAAAAACAGAACGTGCCGGTATGGTATGAGTTCAGGCTGCTTTACTCATTTTTTTTGCCAGGGTTGACCCAGGGGAAGATGAAGCACAGTCTTTAGTCATAGTCTTTTGATTTAAAAAAAAAAACATTTTAGTTTTAGTTGTATTTTAGTCATCTGATTTGTTTTAGTCTATTAAATCTTCAGTAGATTTTAGTCGACACAACTAAAATCGAATGGGTTTAGTAAAAACCTCTATCTGTCTCTTACGCCCCTTCCCCAGCCCCACTGTCTCTTTGGGTCCCCCAACCCCTCTGGGTGTATCCCTCCC